CGGGTGACAAAAATGTGCATCTTAGAATTGATGACATATTATCTGCATTTCGTAACAGAGCTTTCTTCTCATGCATTGGGAGGATAAAAGCTTCCTTTCTCATCCCCATTATTCAGCTTCATGAGGGGTAGCCAGTCAGTATATGCTTGTTGAAAGGTTTTGTTCTTAACAGAGATGGATATAACATGACTTCTAGGGTAAACCTTGACTCAGCACATATCTTGTTCTTAGCTATTGATCCACATGGGAAATGTTTTGAAGACATAAATTCTTCTAATTCTCATGTTAGTCAAAGGAAGGCTCTTTTCCAGACTCTTTTTTTTTTTTTAATTATTCCATTTTAGGTTTTGGGGTACATGTGATGAACATGCAAGATTGTTGCATAGGTACTCACATAGAATCAGCACTGTCCTCTTCATTTTCTTTTGCTTAATTGAAAATGGACTGCCTGTGTTGCCCTTTAAAACCAGCCTAAGGCAGTTCCCAGCTCCTTAGAACAAGGAGACTAACACTGAGTGTCTTCTCCATGCCAGCATTCTCGCTTATGTTATCTAAGCCAGACATTATCATTCCCGTCGGACATATGAGGGAAGAGAAGCTGAAGGACGCCATGAAACTTGCTTAAGATCACAAAACTAAAACGTGATAAAGGCTGGAGTTCTACCAGGCTGCTCTCCCTGCTCCCCTTCCCATGTCATTACACCTTCTCTAAAGAACGGTAGTGTGACCTGTCCCTTGGCCTTAAAGGATTTTCACAGCAAAGCAAAAAGGGCAGCCAAGTTGGGCAAGGGTTGTTAAGAGACCTCTCAATGTGCTTTTTGCATGAATAACATGATGTCTCTCATCTTGGGAACACAGTGTGTCATAAACATTATCTCATTAGTCCTCACAACACCAGACATTTTCAAACAAATGAGTTAATGTTTGCAGTAAGTCCTTGAGATAGGAAGACTGTAGGCACAGTATGAATGTTCAGCATTGTCCTAAAGCCTGAACAGCTGTCAAAGGGTCACAGCCTTGGAGAGCTCTCCTATGAAAATGTCAGATCTTTCAAGTCATGGAGATGGAGGCAGGAATGGAGTTGGTCAGGTCCAACAAAGCCATCTCGGGTTTGGTGATGGAATAGATGTATAATTCAGAGATGCCAAAGGGGATTTCACTGGCAACTCAGATCAATTATTGATCCTGCCTGACAGGCTGAGTAGAGATGGCTTTCAAAGCCTGGGCTCATTGGCAAAGAGTTCTGGGAATGAGTAGTGATGTTTGCAAAGGGTGCAGAACTGAGAGTTAGAAACATATGTTCCAGCAATTTACTATTTTCAGATCAATGATTCTCAATCATGGCTGTATATGAGAATCACCTGAAGAGCTTTTAAAACTACTAGTACCCAGCTATTGCCCCAGATCAAATGAATCAGAATTTCAGAAAGTGGGGCTTGGTTATCCATATATTTTTTAAAGTGTCTGGGTAATTCTAATTGACAATTCTAATCTAACTCTAAGTGAGATTCAAGTGGTGAGTGTAACCTAAGCCTGGGTGACAGAGTATGACTTCATTCCCCTGCCCCCGCCCCCCTCTCCCCAGCAAAAGGAGGAACAATTTATACTAGCCTGGGATGAGTGACTCAATTTCTCTATTTGTTAAGGCAAATTGGATCATTTCCACAAACTGGGCTGGGCCAAGTTCAATAAATATATGCAATTGTTAACCCTCTTCTCACCTCAGAAAATTAAAATAAGGAAAATCCAGGCTGTGCTACACAACGCCCTGATAAAAAGTCAATGCTCAAAGTAAAGGTGTGTCATTACTTTCATTTAAAAAAAAAATTTTTTTGCATGCATTTAGGGCATATACTTTCATTTTTATAATACAGAAAACAGGTACATGGTTGATATTTGTAAAAATCTTACTTAGTGGCTAGACTAGGTAGAAACTGTACACTTAACATTTCCCAACACAGAATAGAAATTATGGACTCCCCATTATATTTTTAGCCTGTGGTTACTGCCAGCCTCACCTGGCCCCTCCCTTCACCTAATTGCAGGCATAATTATTCCCCCGTATTTATTGTAAAATGACTCCTCTGTCCAAGCAGAAGAACAATGGTTTTCTCACATACTTGGGGAGTTCCCTTAAAGACTGTGGACTGCTCCCTGAATTATTTTAGGGCTGAATCTTTCTTCTCATCTCATTTTTGTTTTATTTCCAAAAGTAATATGTGTTTATGGTAGAAATTTTAGGAAGTATAGATAAGCAAAATGAATCAAGACAAAAATCACATAAAATCTGATTGTAATTCCTTTTCAGTAACATATTTAAATAGTATTTATAATATACATATATCTAGTAGGGAGAGATATAGAATCCTTCTTTTCTATATTTTTAAATTTTCTCTTTCATGGAATGTTGTGTGGTTCGTACCATTTACCCTGATTTAACAGCCACTGACTACATTTATCAAGCTAATTCTTTGTTATCAGACATTTAGGCTCTTGTCATTTTTCCTGGTGTTACAAACAATACTCCCATAATTATTCCTGGAATCTGATCTATTGTGAACATCCTGGATGATTCTCTTAAAATAAATTTCTACAAGTAAAAATACTTAGCTAAAGGATGTGCAGGTTTTTTGTATTGTTGACACATATCACCAAATGGCTTTTCTGAAAAGTGTTGCATCAAATCCCATACCTGTTCTCACCATGGGTAAGCATCAGAGAAAAAAATAAAAAAGATCTTGCACAGGTACAAGAAACTCAAATTGTGTGAAGGTAACATTCTATCAATTTTCTGAGATTTCAATACATGAGATTTCCTTTATGTAGGAATGTATGTGTAAATTTGGTAACTATGGTAAATTGACACTCAGAGGCCATGTGTACTATCCAAGTGATTCAGATTATACAGTAATTTTTATTGTTTCAATGTTGCCAGGTAAGAATGAGCTGTTTTGGTACAATCCCTGAGGGAATTTCCAGCCAAATTGAAAGGCCTAGAATATTGCAAACCCAGGAGAATAGGCTATAAACAGAACTTAACAAGGGTGTAAGGTAATTGGTGTAAGCTCTTTCCTTCAGGTGATGACAATGTCTGCTATTAAGGGACTCACAAACAAGGGGAAATGTTGAGTCACTTAAATTTAGGCTCTGGAATAGGAATGACTGAGGGTCACAGAGGCCTGTCAAAGTCCCCATTAGGTGGGTGGAGTATCTGAGTCCCAGTGTGGGACAGGAGGAAGACTCTCACCCCTGGGCAGTGGTGGCAGAGGAGGTAGATGAGGCAGAGGAGAGGAGCAGGGAAAACATGGTGTTCATGTTACACTGACTTGGATTCAAATCCTTTTTTCTTTTTCTTTCTTTCTTTTTTTTTTTTTTTTTTTTTTTTTTTTGCTACCGTTTTTCATTTGCTAAAGATGTGACCTTGGACAGATTATTTAACCTCACTGAGCTTTGAGTCTATAAAATAGTGGCAAGTAATACCTTCTTTCTCAATCAGTCCTTCCGTTGTAAGTATTTGTTTCTTACAGAATACAAGGCAGTTCAAAAGTCCTTTTGTTAGAAAGGTATGAGGGCTGTTCAGAGATTTCAGTGGAATATATGTGTAAGACTAATTACAATAAGTGACATACTGAAGGGACTCAAGAAATTGTTGCTGTTATTATGAAAACGGTTGATAATTATTGTTGCCATGTCCTTTGAGAATAGATTTAGGACAAAAATGATGCTTATGACTGATTGTTATACCTTTGTTTTTGGTTTTTTTTTTGGATTCGCTATTGCAGGGTTTTTAAATCTGGTTTCTAAGAACTCCCAAAAGACCCCATGGTTAAATATCTAGGAGAGAGGGGTGTTACGCTTAGATGGGAAAGTAGGATCATTTTTTCACTAACTTAAAACAAAAATTTAGTATTTCCTTTAATTATGACTATGCAACAAACCAAAGTAGCATCAGTAATACTGCTCATACTTCGGTCTACCAAAAAATCTGCATATGTTCTCATATCACATTAAATTTGCTTCAGGTATCTCAAAATATCATTTTAATTGAAATTGTATTTCAAAAGTATGATAGTTAGGGGGGCTGTGCGGCAAGGGGAGGAAGGACAAATACCTAATGCGTGCAGGGCTTAAAACCTGGATGATGGATTGATAGACCCAGCAAACCACCACGGCACATGGGTAACAAAACTGCATGTTCTACACATGTATCCCAGAACTTAAAGTAAAATAAAATCATTAATAAATAAATAATAAAAGTGCTTAGCGTATTGCCTAAATCTTCTCAGTTAAAAAAAAAAGAAAAGTACGATAGTTCTTAGATCCACTCATTAGAGGGCTTTTAGAATACACATTATCACTGTCCACAGGTGTTGAATTGACAGAAAGGGCTGTCAAGACAACTTCACTATAAACATTTTCATAAAATAATCTAGCGTATTCGTTGACTTCATAAATTATGCCTTCTATGTAGTTACAAACATTATTCTTTGAAGGTGTCTGTAGGCTTCACCAGCCTGCCAGAGGGACCATGGTACAGAAAACATTGGAAGCTTCAGTCAGGAGCCGCCCACCTCAGAGCAGCTTGCCCATAGGAGGAGCTCTGCTGTCTAATGGCTGGTTAGGCTTCTTTATAAATTTCCTTGTTTGTTGTCCAGGCTAATGAACACCAAAAGCAAAACATTTCTATAGAAAATTTCCGAGAAGTCCAAAATCCTGTCACTTGAAAGAGCCTAACCCTGTATGGTAGAGAGAAAAATGTCTGTTATCCTTCCAGGGAGGCTGATACCTGCAGCACCTGGCAGAAAGGACCGCTGCCTAACTAGGCTGATGATCTCACAGGTACAGTAATGGCAATTTACAGACAGCAGAGAAAGAAGAGGAGGAAGAGGATGAGGGAGAAAAGTAGGATAAAGAACCCCAAAGATAGGAAGCCTTTAGCAATAGGGGCCACATAACCTGCAGAGTGGAAAAAAGAACAATGAAACTAAACAACAACAAAATGGTAGTGAATACTTTATTTTGTTGTAAACAAGTGAGTTTTGAGGGTATTTCCTTGTAGTCCTCTTACCCTCACTCCTCCCCCTGTTCCCATGATGCTGGTCAACTGCTTTATTCAGCTTCCCATCTTTCTTCTTGCCCAATCATCTTAGCCTTTCTTTTTTAAAACACATGATCCCTCATAGTCATCTTTAGAGGACAAAATTCCTTTCATATGTTAGAAAAATTAGAGTCTGATAGTACTCACAACAACTAGCAGCATTGTAAGTTTTGATGCATTCATTTAGATTGGAACTTTCTCAATCAGTCCTTCCACTCTTAAGTATTGGTTTCTCACAGAACACAAGGCAGTTCAAAAGGCCTCTTATTAGAAAATTTATGAGTATATTAATGGGAAACATCATATAAGCTGTGAAAACAAAAATCTTTCCAGGTTGCTGGATTTTCTCCTTCTCATTCTTATAAAAAGCAACCAGGCATCTTTAATTTAAAAAATACATGCACATATATACAATAGTGATTGGAATGTGATTTTTATCCAAAACATTAAGAGTTTGTCTCAGATATACTGAGGACTGTCACTTAGTCTGTAAATAACCCCCAGAGGGTGGTTTGTTTCCTCATTCCTTAAAAAACAAACCAAAAAAAAGTTTACTAAATTTAAACACTGACATCCAGTGAAGATGCCAGTTTTTATAGGCCTTTGTAAAAGTAGAATATGGGGAGTATGTTACACTAGTACAAAGTTTTACAAATTAATACAAGTAAAATATATAAATTACAATGAAATAGAGGAAGATTATGGTTCTGTCCTGGGGTGGTTCTTTTAGCAGTCATATTGCTGTAAAGAAAATAAAATGCCATTAGGTTATAATCAGGATAAATAATATTGACATTTTAGTTCTTTAAATTTCTATTTTAAGCAAACATAAAACAGACTGATATCAGCTTCAGCAAAGCTTAGGCCAACCATACTTAGGGCTTAGACAATGCTCACGAAATATTTCCTAAACAAAACCAGATCCCTTGTCCTCCATGACTAAAAGTCACAGAAAGGGCCCATAGAAACTACAGGATACTGACGCTGGGTTGCCTTGAATGTGTTTGTGTGGGGTTTTAATCTTAGGGATTTAAAAGATAATGCCATGGAAGTTTCACACTGGTATGATCTCAATGTGGGCAACCTTTCAAATTAAATGCTACAAGTTATGGACCTGACCCTTCTACATGAAAAGCCCTGCCCTTTGAAAGTGTCTTTTGTCCTATCAACAAAGGTAACAGATCTTCCCTGCAGTATCTGGGAAGAAGCCATCCCTATGGTGACTCAGCTGGGAAACCCAGTGTATTTACTACCCCAACTCAGAAGAGAGTATCAGTCCTTGCCAAATCACTTCAGCCGTTTTGGTCATTGGCTCTTCCTGCTTGTCCCCAAAAGGTACTAAGTGAGTGCATTTAATTCAAGTACTCACTTAGTTTGAACTCTGTCTTGTACGAAATTCAAGGCTAGAGGTAAGTTGCATTACAGTAGTTTCTAGAGGATTCTTCTCTGCCCTTCCCCAACCATATTTCTTGAAAGAAACCCCATATTGAAGGTTTCCCATTCACTTTTCTTGGAAATTTCCAGAAGAAATTATTAATCTTGCTATACTTGCCTGATATGGAAAACTAGATTTTCATTTTAACTTTCCCTCAAAAATTGCAGAAAGTTTTCTTTTATTTTCAGCAAAGTTTTTGTGGTAGCAATGGACTTTTAGTTTTCATTAGGTTTTTGTCTTACTTTAAAAGAAAGTTAACTGATCTGGCACCAGAGGAGTAAATGGTTTAGAAAAACAAAAGATATAAAATAATCTCCTTAAAGCTAGCATCAAAGCTGGGCTTCCATCAATTCCATAATATATATTTTAGGAGGATATAGATACAAGAACTTTCACTTCTACAAACAAATGCATTTTTCTCTCCTAAATCATATCCTCAGGAAACAAGTGCTTCCTGGGTTTCTTTCAGAATGAAAGGCTTTTCATGAGCTGCTGTTCAAAGGCTTCTAGCTGTTCTTCATACTTACTGCTTGGGCATTTTTAGGACTCCTTGTAAGGAAGGAATTGCAGAAAATTCAACAGAACAGTGAGTGTGGAATACAGGTTAAAAATGAGAGTTTTTGCATAAAATGACTCAAGGTTTGAAGGCTGTTATTTCCTAACTAGGTGATCTTAAGCATATTGCTTAATATTTGAGTCTTATCTGAAAAAAGCGTTTAGCATAGTGCCTGATGCATTGAATGGTTGGTTACTACCTGTGTTTACTAGCTGGGAATATGACAGCAAACAAAGAGCAGACATCTTTTTTTCTGTCTCTGCAGCCAGAGCAGGGGCAGTGAATTAGATCCTGAAGGGAGCGCTGTGTCTGTGGGCAGCATGTTCCTATGTACACAGAGCCAACGTCAAAGAATTAAGACAACCCTGTGACTGTGAGACTCGAGGAAGCTTATTACTGACAGCTAAAGTGAATGCTATAATTGTGTTGCTACAAATATGATATAAGAATAAACGCTGGTAGGTTAAGCATGTTTGGTTTTATCTTTTTCTTTATGATGAAAACAATGGTATATTAACACCAGGGCCAGACTACCCCCATTTTCACACAGGTTCTTACCTGTTGGCGAGAGCAGCAATAGCCACATATGCCTCCAAGCACTCCATTTATTACTTGAATAAGACACAAGATGAATTCGATTCCACCAAGAGCCAAGAGGATAGAAAACAGAGACACATTCCATTCCACAACATGCCTGGGTTCAGAGCACTGGGACCACGTGGATGTATCCAGAAGGTACCTGTGTGTAAGAAGAGAAACTTCTGACACATGGCCATACTTAAGGGGATGCCTCTGAAACTATTTTTTTTTTTTTTTGGTTTGGTGGTTTTTCATTCAGAAAAAAAGGAATGAATTATTCAATATCCTGTGTAAGTTTCTTCCAATGCATGTCACTCCACAAAATGGAGGAATTTTGCCCAGATCCTGTTGTAATGATAAACATAAAATTATAATTTAGAATTTTTGCTCCTAATCTAGGATTACATGGTCAGAAATTCTCACCTTATAATGATATTCCCTAACAGATACCTGAATTCTTATGAATGAAAATAAAAACGCAGAACTGTATTTATGCTGTGTTTAAAGTTAGGTAAAATTCATATATATATATATATATATATATATATATATATGGAAGTAAACTAAGAGCAAATGTGGAAAAATGAAAACAATTCATATGTTAAAGTAATTATAGGTGTTTTTTAAAACCATTTTCCAATTTTATTGTTGTCAATGGTATAAAAGATGGGTATTTGTATTCAATACTGAGTGAATATTTAGAAAATACAATCTTTTTAGGTTAGTTTTTTTGAACTTTAAAATATTAATTTAGATCATTTAATTACATCTCAGTTTGTTCCTTTTGAAGATTATCCAAATTCTGGCAAGTTTGGAGATATGATATGCTAGAATTTTTCAATTGAGACCTTTTGAACAAAGCTATTTTTTGCTTTTAAGGAATAAGTAAGTTTGCAGTGTAAAGCACAGGGATTAAACCCAACTAATTTGATAGCTCTTGACTTTGTTTTTTTTTTTTTTGAGATGGAGTCTTGCTCTGTTGTCCAGACTAGAGTGCAGTGGCGCAATCTTGGCTCACTGCAACCTCTGCCTCCTGGGTTCAAGTGATTCTCCTGCCTTAGTGTCCCAAAGTGCTGAGATTACAGGCATGAGCCACAGCGCCCGGCTGATACCTCATTATTTTCATGACGCTGTGCCCGTGTCCATAATAGCATGTAACACATTGCATTCACTAATTCAACAAAGATTACTGAGCACTCAGTGTGAGTCTGACACTGAGCCAGAGCTGGGGATATAATGGAACGCAGGGCATGATCTCTTTCCTGGAAGAGCATAGCTCCTAAGGGAAGAGACGAGTCACAGGTAATCTCAATGCAACAGACATGCTGATTGGTAAACCAAGTATGGAAGAGCCACAGAGGAAGGATGCCTAACCTAGTCCAGGGGGAACACCTGCTTATGTATCTATTCAAAAAGGCTGAGCTCCATGAAGGTAGGAGCCAGACCTATTCATCATTGTATATCCAGCCGCTAAAACAGTACCTGACACACAATAAGCACTCAACACATTTTAAAAGCAGTTGAATAATAAATAACAACATGAAGTTACTTTGTGAAATGTCAGCAAATCATGCTGAGGTCATCTCTGGCTATAGATTTATGAGATTTAGGTACATTTTCTAAAACCCTGGATATTCTTCCAGTCTGAAAAATTCTACCTCTGATAGCTCTCCTAGAATTTCAGCCTTTGCTACAGAGTATTTGGATTCTTAATGAAACAGAATACAATCATGTGGGAAATCAAGGTTTGACTCAATTCCACAAAGAGGCCTGGTATAATTCTTTCCTTATCACGACTTCCTGCCGTAATAGAAGAAAGGGGCTTGGAATTAGAGGCCTAACTCTAGACTAGTTCATTGAGCCAATCAGAGATTATAGATTTTCATTTCAAAAAAAGTTCTGTTTTTGTGGCCCTGTCTTTCTGCATGTCAACAGAACAAAAATCTATATTTTCAGGTCACAGCGTAAAAAAAAACGTCTCTGGCTCCACCTGGCTCCCAGGCAACTAACCTGTGACTTGTGACGGTTAGTTATTTCCCATATTGAAATCCTTGGACAGCTTTAAGTGAAAGATGACATAGAAAAGGAGGAAAGTTTCTTGTAGAATCCAGAGTGGATAATGGGAGGGGCAGGCAGTCAAATACCTATAAAAACCATTTAGTGATACTACCACCTCTCCCTGCATTCTGGCTGCATAAGTCATGGCTTTTCTTAGAAGTCGGTTTGTGCAATAGTTTTATATGTTTGTGAATACGTGAATAACCATTTTCTACTAGTACATCCAGTACGTTCTGATAAAAGATGAGTCATGATTGATCACAATTTTGAACACCAAAATTTCAAACTTCTTTTCCTTCAAAGGCTACCAATGGGTTATGTTCATTGTAAGCTAGTAGGTAATATTAACAGCTAACAGTGGCAGTCACTCACAGTGTGGCAGCCTCTGTGGGGAACATTTTATCTCATTAATTCTCATGACAATTGCCACTGATCTTATTTTACCAGTGGAGGAACTGAGATGGAGAGAGCTCAGTTTACCTTTTCTATAGATAAGTGCAGAGCTGGGATTGAACCCAGCTAATTCAAATTTATGACCTCATGACTATGCTAAATTTATGAGATTCATATATCCTCACTACATGCTATAAAATTCCTGGAGACAAACACCCTTGATAATATAAGGGCAATTCAAATTCATTATTAATATTATTAAACCTTTCAAAATTCAACTTCTGAAACTTGAATAAGGAAAAAACCTCAGAATCAACTCCTGCTCCAAGAAACATGTCATTCATTCGTCACCACATACATCTGTTTCTATCGGCTGTCCCATTTCTGTTTTTCTCTTGATAACTAATAGAATAGGTGTCAATATAGAATGGGGGAACATCTCAAATTATCCTGATGTTAAGGTTGTGAATACACCTTTTTTAAAATAGAACTTAACTTAAAAAGGGAGATTTGTACATAGTTCTTATGTTATATGTGAGTGTATATGTGTGTATACGGGCAAGGGCAAAATTTGCCATGGGCTTTGGTTAAATTCGTATAGTTGCCATTCTTATTATATATGGATTCTATAATACTTTCTTATAATATAGTAAAATGTGTTACATTTAATTAGCCGAGTGTTCTGGTATAATGTATAAAGTAACTGAGATGCGCTATATGAACACAAACTCTACAGCCAGACTGCCTGTGTTCAAATGCTAACTGCCGCTTTCTGGAAACGTGACTTTAGATGAGTTACTTCATCTATATCTGTGATTTTGTTTCCTCATCTTTAAAATAGGAAGTCACTTCATAGAGTTATTATGATGACTGAGTTATTGAATCTATTCAAAAGCTCTTTGTATTTGGGAGACTGTGGAAGGAGGATCGCTTGAGCCCAGGAGTTTGGGCCACAGTGAGCTATGATTGTGCCACTGCATTCAAGCCTGGGTGACAGATCAAGGCCCTGCCTCTGGAAAAAAAAAGAAAAGAAAAGAAAAAGAAAAAGAACTTGTTTAAGTCAGGCACTGAGCATCCATCCTTGGACATCTATTGCCTAACTCATGCCTGAGTCAGTGAGAAGAAACGCTGGCTAGGTGGGTGGATGAATGGATGACTGGATGCCTGTCTGGTTTGATGGAGTTGCCACTGTATACACGTGGTGGATAAAAATGTGTAGGCAGGTAGAGAATAATCACATACTGGCCCTCGGTGCTGGCAAAGGTGTAGTTCCACTGGCCGAAGGAATTAAGACATAGTGGTCCTTCTGCTAAGCCCAGGGCTGCCACAATGACACAGTAGCCAGATCCTGCAATTCCAATGAGAGAAGCCAGTACAGAAGAAAGCATCTAGGGAAAAGGAGAAACAAAGGAAGTGAGCCAGAGAGTGTCACAGCTACATCTTTGGAGTCATTTTCACCACCCGGGCAGGAGGACCTACCGCACATCGTTTGCCACAGTTTTCATGGCCACAGCAGCCACAGCAGTCATCCTGTTCCAGCCCAATGAAGACAAATGCTGGCAGGAGCATCTGGTTAGGGAACAAACAAGTCAAGTCACTGACTTGCCCAAGCTTATATGGGTCGGGTTAGGCATCTCTTGGTAAAATATATTTATTTCCAATGCTGTTAACTGGCTTTGATGAGATTGACCAAGTATCTCAAAGAATGTAAACCTCTGAGCAGAAACAAAACAAAACAAAAAACAAAAAAAACCCTCTAAATGTCATATCTGCTTGTTTTGATGTAATCTCTGTCAAAGCATTTTTTAGGGTGAGGGTGTAACATGGGAGGAGTAAAATAATAAACTGTAAATGTGTTTATTCCACAAGAGTTCATCACACAGTCCCAGATACAATCTCTGTTTTGGAAATATTATATCTTATCTCTAAATCTGATTTTTAATGCTTGTAAAATGCAGAATATACCAACAAAATTAAATTCTATTTAATAGAATAATTGAAACATTTTTATAAATAGGAGAGATGAAAGCTATATATAATAAATATGAACTGCTTCCCTGACTATACAAATACATAGTTTTAACTTAACAATATTAAGTTCTTAAAGTAAATATGAAATACTTTAGGTTAAAGATCGAAAGAAACAAGTTTTATATTATGTTTAAGACTAATAATTATGTTAATATGATAATACTTAAATTTGAGGCAGACGGGCATGGTGGCTCATGCCTGTAATCCCAGCACTTTGAAAGGCCAAAGTAGGAGGTTCACTTGAGTCCAGGAGTTTAAGATCAGCCTGGGCAACATAGAGAGACCCCATCTAATTAGATTAAATTAAATTAAATCTCATTAAGTAAATAATTTAGGGCAGATTTGCCATGCCATAATCAGTGTATTAAGTTTAAATGTTTTAATAGCTTTTACTTAAGAAAATATATCATGTATGGTACGATTCCATAAAATTTCTCTTTAAAATTCTTAATCCCAGCATTTTGAACAAGCACACTTAAATTTGTCCACATTCTTTCCATGCTGTGGCTGAAGCTAATGCTTTCAGCTCCCAGGTTGGCAGACAAATTCTTCTCACTTCAATTAAAAACAAGTCTTGGAAAAACAACACATTCCACTATTAGCTTCAGACATCGACCTGCTGCTAACTGTAGGGCTTTTCCTAGACACCACACCCCAGTATCACAGAAAGGAGAAAGCTCTGAATTCTTTTAAAACAGCAATGCACTCACAACTCATTATTTTTCCCTATCACAGATGCCTGAAAATAAACAGCAGAGAATTTGGAATCAAAATTGTTGATTTAGGCAGAGAACCAGCCAACCCCTCCCGGCTTCCCAGAGCAAATGTTAAATGACTACCCGCTGTAGTAGAAACTCTATAGTCTCTCAAATCTGATTTAAAAGTGAATATCTGTTTTCTAGCTACAGAGTTTAGCAAAAAGGCAGTTCACTTTCAGTTGAAAGAGGGTTTCGTGAAACAACATCTAATAAAATTACTGCGCTATGCTGTACCTATCTCACTTTTGTATAATCTGCTTCCAAAGGAATGAACAACAAAAATAACGAAAAGAGTCACTTGATTTGGAAATATGCATTGCAGGACACTTTCCATGAAAATACATAATGAAAACATCCAGGAAACAGGAGAGAATTCAGTAATAATCCTGAATGACTTACCAGCAGGCCCCCTCCTACGATGCCAGAAAAGAACCACACGAAGCGGCTGAGGTGGTTTTCGGAGGCATACCTTGTTTCCCCATTGGGAAAGTAAAGCAAAATATTCGCTGCAATGCAGAGGAGGGCGAGCCCCGCCAGAGAATGTCCGATGCATCGGGCGCACTTGCCGTAGCACATGGTGGTCTGCTGGGTTTTCTCCTCCTTCTCTTTGTCTTCAGCTCAGTGAGACCCCAAATTAGATGGAAGTGTGCCCTTCTGTGGAGAAAGCAAAAGCCACCCTCAGCCCATTCCTGCTACCTCTTAAATACTGCGATTCTTAGTCACTGAGTGGATGAGGTACTTCGCTTTCATTGGTCCTGACCGCAGGCTCCGGTTGTGGTGCCGGGAGGCCGGGGGAATGTCCCGCCCTTCAGACGAAATCCTTGGGACAGGCAAAACCAGGGGCAGGACGTGAGAAACAGCCTCAGTCATCGGCAACAGGGAAAATGATTAATCTGGAACAAGGCATTGAGTGTGCAACTCCTCCACAAGATAAAGAATCAACAGGAAAGCCTTACATGACTTTCCAGTAACTGCCAAGTGTCCGCGGTGCGAGAGCCCTGGCTGAGGCCCTGAACGGCAGTGGGCTGTGCCCCTGCTCCAGGCGGCCGTCTGGACAGCTTCCAATCTGAGAGCTTTGTGTTCATTTCTACCTTTGCGCGGATTTAATTTACAGCCTGGGGCAAATCTCCTGAGCCCATTTCACTGTCTATTAAATACAGGTTTCAGAGACGTCACCCATGGCTTTGAGGAGGCTGTCGGGAAAACTGCGGAGCAACCTTCTTTCCTCTGCTTACAGCAAGCTCTGCAGGACGGATTTCCGTGTTCAGCCTCCCTGGACTTCTGCCTCCAAAACAATTTACACCACAACAAAGGTGGCATCAGTCAACACGAGGGGCTCAGGTGCTTTTTAAAAATTATTGAGTGTTGCTGTCATGAAAAGCAATGCCAGAAAAGGCCAAGGAAGGCCTAAAGCATGGAGCAAAAGCAAAAGGAAGACAAGGGGGAGGAAGAGAATGGGAGAGAGGAAAGGAGGGAGGGAGGGAGGGAGGGAAAAAGGAAGGAAGAGAAAGAGGGAGAGAGGGACGGAGGGAGGGAGGAAGGAAGGAAGAAGGAAGGAAGGAAGGAAGGAAGGAAGGAAGGAAGGAAGGAAGGAAGGAAGGAAGGAAGGAAGGAAGGAAGGGAGGGAGGGAGGGAGGCCGGGGAGAAAAAAAACAAGAGAAAGGGATTTGGCAAGCAGACTGGAGAAACGAGGTTCAGAGAAACGGAACTGACTAGGAATGTAAGAACCCACATAGAGGTAAACAGATGATTTACCCAGCCAGATCCTGAGACCAGCTTACACCGACTCCCCACACAAAGGCAGAGAAAGAGTGTTAGACTAACTTTCTACGTGGTTACCTTGCAGAAGGAGGGGCTGGGCACTGAATAAATTTAAGCCTTGAAGAGCAGATTGCACCAGCCAGTGGATGGCGGTGGGAGGTGGACAGGGTGGCCGGGTGGGGCCAGGACTGGAGGGCCTTGTCACCAGGACAGGATAGAGAGTACAGAAAATAGAAAAGGGCCAAGGTAAGGAGGCATTAAGGTGAGGGAGGCTGGCGAATCTACAGCCTGAAGGATTTGGCCGGAAACTAGAGGGCGGGACACATACCAAATTTGTGGAGACCAGTTTGTGGTTAGTGACGTGGCATGGGATGGGAGGAGGGCCCAAGAAGTACGGCCTCAGCACACTAACAGGGGTGAGGCCAGGAGCCACGATGGCCTGAGAAAATAAATCAATAGAGTCGAGAAGCCTGGAAGCAGCCACCTGCTCAGGTGGAGGCAGGTACATCCTCATAAGAACATCACTGTGTTCAACAACAGGGAAACGTGTGCTCAGCCTGACGGCTTAGAGACAGGATTACGCTGGTGACAGCCTGGGCACTATGGGTGAATGACGGAGTCCTTTGTTGAAACATAATCATTGCAATCCTCCTCTCTGCTGATCTATCCCACCTGGAACCAAAATGGGGGAAAGTGATTCTTAGCTGATATGGTTAGGCTTTGTGTCCCCACCCAAATCTCATTTTGAACTGTAATCCCCATATTTCCCACATGTCAAGAGAGAGAGACCAGGTGGAGGGAACTGAAACATGAAGGCAGTTTCTCCTGTGCTGTTTTGTGATAGTGAGTGAGTTCTCATGAGATCTGACAGTTTTATAAACAGCTCTTCCCCCTTTTCTTGACACGTCTCATTCCTGCTGCCTTGTGAAGAAGGTCTTGCTTCTCCTGCACCTTCTACTTTGTAAGTTTCCGGAGGCCTCCCTAGCCATGCAGAACTGTGAGTGAATTAAACCTTTTCCTTTATGAATTACCCAGTCTCAGGCAGTTCTTTATAGCAGTGTGAAAATGGACTAATACAACGACTTTGCCCCCAAGTGTTTAAATCTCCTTTTGTCTTCTTTCCCCATCTCCAAATCAGTAGGGCATGGAGAAGACTGGAGGTCCTAGAGAGAGAAAGCCTGGAGAAAGACCCCCAGCTCTGCTATATTCTTGCTGTGTGGACTCAGTGCAGTAACTTACATTCCAGGACTGTTCCCTAATCTATAAGACAAAAAGTAGGACTAGATCAGTTGTTCTTAGCAGATTTTTGAGAATCTTAAAAATCAAAAAATTAAAAATTTTTTGAAAATCTTATAATAAAGCCCTCTCCCCAGAAAAAAAAGAAATATACATGCTGCAGGATGCTGCTCATATGTCACTTTGTCAAGGAAGTTCTCTCTGATGACCTATCTAGTGAAGACATTCCTCCCATCTCCAGCTGTGCTCCATCACGTTACCCTTGTGTATTAACATCACAGAATTTATCAGCCTCTGAAGCTATTCTGTGTATTATCCCTTCCCCTCCCCGCTGAGAGGACGCCATTTGCCTTGTCCACTATTGTTTCCCCAGTGCCCGGAGCATGTCTGGTGCATAATAGGTGCTCAGTAAATAGCATTGAATAGTTAAATGGATAAATAAATGAATCTGTGAGTTTTTAAGCCTCTTTTTAACCAGGCTGATGCTCCAGTCTCCCCACCCTCAATTTCATGATGACTCTCTGTGAGCCCAAAAATACCTCGGCCACTCACACCATTGCTCCCAGACCCTCCCACTGCCTGGTTGTTTGATCTGGGGCAAGTTACTAACCATTGTGTACTGGGTACCTCTATTTCTGTAATTCATTCATTCACCAACATCTATTGGTTCCTGCTATGTGTTCTAACTGCCAGGGATATAGCAGTAAGCAACACAAACAACATACCTGCCTTTTAGGAGTATCCACTATCAGAAAGAGAGAGGCAAATAAAAAATAACAGTAAGTAAAATACAGAGGGTGTTAGATGATGATAAGAGCAGAAAAGGGGAATCGGTGGGAGAAGGAGAGGACCTTACTGAGAGACAAATAATAGAATCCGCCTCATAGGTTGTGATATGCAGAAGTGAGTCAATGTGTGTAAAGCTTGAAGTATCTGGCATTTAGCAATCACTCAATATGTGTTACTTATTAGTTACTATTTTTATCAGTCCACTCTCTCAGAGGAGATGTCGCTAATGTGTCTGTGATTCATTATATTTACTTTTCTGAGATTCTATCACTCCAGTATATGTTGGATTTCTTTATTATCTTTCCCGGCAAATTTTAAAATACTGAACTTCCCCCAGTTACAGTAAAACTCATTTCCAGCTTCATCATCCCTTCTGGAATCAACCTCAATCCATGATACCCTTGGAAGCAACAGTTTTTACTGCATCACAAAACTGCAGATTCCAGAGCATGAGCTGCTGGTTCTCAGCCCCATGTTTTGGATATGCCAAAACTTCCAGAAAGGCCTGCCATTTCTGCCCAGCCTACCCTATCCCTGCCTTGTTACCTGACTGAACTTTTACTTAATCCATGACACCTTTCGTCATGTCCCTGCCTGCCTGCTTCCCCCCTCCACTCTATCCTCATCCTGCTCATGACTCCCTCTTCGTTCTTAAACCCAACGAACCTGCGTGGCAGCCCCAATCACACCACGACGCATAAGTGCATATCCTCCTTAGCCTCCCCATCTCCACTGAAGTCTCAGAGAGCAGGGACCTTCTGTCTTCCTCTTTGAGGGCACAGCAGCTGGCATAGTGTCAGGCATTTAGTTGGCTCTCAATTAATGTTTGCCAAATAATTTTGTTCATATGAACAGGAAAGTCGAATATGTTCAGTTCTAAGATTACTTGTGTTTAAGTAAAGTCAAAACATCTTATGAAAAGTTAGGGAAAATTGACATTTGCTATAATTAAATTAGAAAATGTTCAATTTTACCTATCATTACCATAAGAAGCTGGTATATGCTTCCTAGGGTTAGCTCTTTCAACCTTTTCATGCACAGAATGTGGCTTCAAGAATAATTCCAGAGGAAACTCCTTTTGCTTATACCAAGTGCCATATATGCATAGATGTTCATGCTGAAAGATGCCTCAATAGAGTAAATGGTTTAGCTCCCACACCTCCATGGAATCATTATGGCTATTTTATAGTTAATCCCACAGGGGTTAAAAACTCTTCCCAAGATCATCTAGATAGTTGGCAGTGGAATTGGATTACCTTTTAGAACTAGTATAAACAGTGAATGATTCTATGTGGTTGTGGGATTCTAAGAGGAAGATTTAAACTCAGGTCTCCTGCACCCCTGTTGTATTTTTCCACATGTATTTCCCCTTCCTTGTTGGGAAGGCACTAGTTTCTTACTCATTTGAACATGACAGATGTGATGATTCTTATATAGTAATCATGTTCATTAGAGCATTTTGATTATAGTAACAGAAGCCAGTTGAGTTACCTAAAACAACGGGGCATTAATTATGAACTTCAAAGGTGGAGATGCAGATAGGATGATGGAACTCATGGACAAGGGGAACAAAGCTCTGTAGGAAATTCAGAATGTCCTACTCCACATTTTGCATTTTTGACTCTTTCTATCCATATACTTTATTCTTCTTAGTGCGGCCTTGTTTTCTCTGCTTGTCGGTTCACACACAAAAATATGGCTACTGACAATTCTGAAGTTTATGGCTTTCTCAGTTCAAGAGATTCATCCCAAGTCCCGATTGTGAGGGAAGGGACATGCATTGGACAAGACCAGGCCAGGTGTCCATGCCTATGGGGCTGCATAAACAGGGATGCTGGGAGCCATCCCTGCAACCAGGTACATGGAAGAGAAGTTGTTCTCAGGAAAAGGTGAGTGTGGGACCAGGCAGGGAAGCCAGTTGCTGTCTTTTGTTTGAAACTATAATCAGAGCAGACAACGACAGTAAAGAGACTCAGAGGCAGGGAACAGTGTAAAACCACCTTACACACAGCTTCCTGGCTTTCTATTCACTTTAGGCTGTAGCTCAAGTTATTCTTGGGCTAAAAAATAAGCTCTGTTGGCACAATTAAACCAGAATTAGTCACCAATTCCCCATCTCTCTCCGGTAATTTTAGTTCAACATTGCTCAGCTGATGGCTCATCAAGCCAAGAACTCTTCCACGCCTCGGTTGCCATTTTCAGAAAAGACACCTCCTGGGGTGCCTACCCTATGCTCAAGATGTGGCTCTGGATCTCCCTTCCTGAAGGCTAGCTGCCCCAAAGGGATAGTCTGACTTCCTGTTGGATGGGTGAGCTGAAGACATCCAGGGCATCTA